CACCATAAAAAATTTGTACGAAGAAAAGGTATGAAATGAATAATAACAATTTCTCTTTTATTTCTTGTTCTTTAGTTTGGTAATGTTCCAAAATCAACCAGCTTGTCTTGTACTTGTAGTTACTGTGTATTAGGCTTTGTATGGTGCCTTAAAAGCTACTTGAGAAATTAACATGTTTTATTTTTAACAGAATCACCCTGCTGCTGAACCTTATAACGATGGTTCAATTGGAAATGCACAAGGTACCAATGTAATCAATGAGGGCATGGAAAAAGAGAATGGTCAAGAGAAAGAAGGTAAGGAAGATAATGGACCTGATGTTACTTTTAAACTTGATGAATTGGGTCCATCTGTTGCACAAGATGCACAAGAACAATCCAGTAAAAGAGGAGAAGTTGCTTTGTCATCAAATGAGACGAAGAGAGGCGAAGATCCACCAATTGTTGCACAAGATGCACGAGAACCAGCTAGCAAAAGAGATGAAGATGCACCTACTATTGCACATGATGCACGAGAACCAGCAAGCAAAAGAGGTGAAGATGTGCCTACTGCTGAATGCACTGCAGTTAAGTTGTTAGGCAATGATACAATAAAGGAGGAAAGTATAGAGTTGAGTAAGAGTAATGCATTTGATGTGATGATTCTAGAGAAATCTTCAGAGTTAGACAGGGCCTTGTGTAAAATTGAGGGCTTGACAGAAATTGACAGGGATACTGCTCTCAGTAAGCTTCCAGATCACCCTGGACAGATGATGGTCTTCTTCAGCCTTTCACCAGATCGAAGACTTGTATGGGTGAAGAGATTCCTAAAGCACCATTGAGTTATCTTCGAACATTCATAGAATATACTACATATGATCCCAGGTATAACTTAGTTTATAATTTTTTAGTTCAGGTTTTACTTTGCTTCCATATTAATAAGCCTACTAATTATAGAACAAATTTAATTACCTTGAAATTTTAGCGTCAAGTTGCTTTGTTTAACCATACCTTACACAAACTCTTTTCACACAGCACCTAAATAAAAATTATAAATTTATAACTCTTAATTAATGTTAATTAATTTTGTAATTTTCTTCTACTAATGACAAACGAAAGCCTATATTGTGGATTTTTCAATTATAATTTCTTATTCTTTTGCTAAGCATAATATTGATTATTATTTAGGAAAATTCCTAAAGAAGGGTGGCTTCAAGAAAATAATTCTAATTTAGTTTAGAAAAATAATTAGTACATACTTTTTTAGTTTAACACACCCACCAATACCTATTAGTTCAACAATTAAAATATACAATTTTAAGTTTTTTTGCTTTTAATTTAAATTTAAAAATAATAATTTTTTAATAAATATATCGTCAAGTGTGTTGAACTATAATATTAGTGTCCTTTAGGGTTTTTTTTTTTTTTAGATATTATTGTTTCATGTGTTGTTATATTATGGTATTAGTTTGTAATATTTTTCTACATTTTTTATGAATAAAAATGAGGAAAGTTGCTTACAAAATCTCTACTTGTAGAAATCAATTCATGATATTGAATCAAAGAGTAATTCTTTGGTCTAAATATTATTTTTTTGAATTAAAAATGGTACTTAATTTAGTAATTTACCATTATTAATACCTTATAACTCCAAGTGTTAAATCTATTAATAAATAAGTATTGTTTTATAAACTAAATTTAGAGTTTAAGTCTTGGTGTCAATATTTAAGAGAATTAATTTCCTTCAATACACCAATCTAATGTTGGAGGCGCCCCTTAAGATTGCCTAAGTAGGGACTCAAAATGCATGAAAGTTGACTTGAAGGCACTTGACTGCAAATATATATATATATATATATATATATATATTAGTATCTTATTACCATTACTAAAATCCTAACTTAACAGACTGTAACTAAAAGACCCTCACACCAAATCAGTACCAGCAATTACCATTTTTTCTTATTCTATCTTTTCATATTTTCAAGACCAAAATAATATTTTCATATTATCAGTAAGTCATTTTTCAAACCAAACTAATGATTGATAACTTTTAAGTTATTTTTGGTTGTAAAGCATTTTTTTTCCTTGTTCAACATGTTGTCCCTTATCATAACAGAGTCGTGATGGCCTCAGAAATTATACTGAATCTGTGCTTTCTATAATCGTGACTATAGTTATATGATTCCACTTTTGTTTCCATATGCTTGGATGTTTGATTGAATTGTGGAGACATTTATGCTTCTATTTCTTTTAATAGTCTACTTCTTCCTTTTTTTGAGAGTACATTGAGGAAGCTCTCACATCCATCAACTTCAACTGACTGTGAGGTGAGTGATTATAATTTTAGCTAATCTACAGATTCCATCACCCTATCAGATAAAAGCTTTGTTTTCATGAAGCACATGCCTTAAGAGATTGTTCTCTTCCTAATTTCCATGTCTAACTTTAATCATCATTGTTGAATATCTTCAAACCAACTAGACCACATATTTTTAGGCATGTGTTTTGATGAAGAAACGATAAAGAAATGAATTTCAAATTCCTCTTTTTGTAAGGAGGGGAAGGAATTATAGTTTAATTAGTAGAGCAAAATGTGGATTTAAAGGAGAGAATTCAGAAGACCACCTTTTTAAGTAATATTTCTTTTTCTTTTCTTTTCTTTTTTTCATTTTGTACATGGGAGTTGCTAATTAAAAGATACCAAGTCAACTAAATTCTTGAAGCTATTTCTTTACTGGATTGTTATAGACAAATTCCACTAATAGTAAATCATAATCCCATTTCCCTGGTAAATCCATAGTACAAGCTCTGAGCATATCTTCAAAAATCTAACCATCTCTGCTTGTCCATCAGTTTGAGAATGAAATTAAGGTGAACTCATCCTCAATCTAAGATATCTATCTAAAGCAACACTCACTGGTACACCATGGAAGTATAACTTAGCTAGCTTTTTCAAAGAATAGTTAGCTGATGAGCTCTAACTGGTGGAAAACATGCTGACTTACTTAGCCCACCTGCAATAACCCAAATGGTGTCAAACTGTGCTCTTGCAGGCCCTAAGCAAACCCATCACACAATCCATAACAATATTCTCCCATTTCCATTCTGCAGTACCCCTGCAGTACCCCTGCAGTAACAATATTCTCACTAAGTCAGGCACCTAATCATATAAACTGCTATATCCCTCTCCATTCCACCAAAGTTTTTCCCTCATATTCTAATACATCCTTGTGCTGCCTGGATGGATAGTAAATATAGACTTCCGAGCTTTCTAGCAATTCCTTTTCCGGTTCTTCATCTTTAGGCACACACTCGTATAATCTTATGATTTAATTGCATACTTAATCCAACCTACAATGATGCTGGTTTACTTACTGCCTAAGTGCCTATCATGTTGACTTTATATTTATTTTACTTCTCTTACAGATTCCAATCCGAGAAACACATGTAGGTATTGGAGAACAAATCAAGTGCAGCAATCAAGTGAATCAAGGCTTGAAGATCAAAGTGAATCAAGGCTTGAAGATCAAAGAGATTCAAGGACATAAACATAAGGAGAAAATCAAGGAGAGCAGTATCAAGGAAGAAATCAATCAAGTTAGCAACGGTACAGAGAATAATAAGGCTATGAAAATAAAGGAGAATGTGGAAACTAACAGAGCAATCCAAGGGAAGAATCCAAACTGAAATACAAGGAAAGAATCCCAGAATTATCTCAATATGACCGTTGGTCACTCAATGTACTCTGCATCTTTTGCATTTAGTTGACAGCAATGATTCCCAAAATCATGTCTTAATGTAAGACGTTGTAAATAATATAAATAATGCAAATATTTCTTTCTCTCCTCACCTCGAGAGAAACTTTTACAGATTAAAGTGTCAAAAAGCGTTTTTATGGTATCAGAGCCTTTCGATGAGGAGAAGCAAAAATATCTTACAGTATGTCTTCATCTCCTGCTCAACAAACAACAACATCCTCAAAAACCTACCCCTATCCGGCCACATTGAATGTAGCCAATTTTGTTTGTTTCTCTCCAACTCACCTCAGATAATTATCTACTTTGGAGAACCCAAATAATGGCTCTAATTGAAAGTCAAGAGCTATTGGGTTTTATTGATGGCGAGTATGGAATGCATGATCCAAAGGTACTTTCAAATGAAAAGGAAGTACCAAATCCAACTTATGCAACTTGGAGACGGTCTGATCGTCTTCTTCGTGGGTGGATCACCGGTACCTTATCCAAAGAGGTACTTGGAATTGCTGTTGGACTCGAGACTGCATCAGAAGTTTGGAAGGCATTGGAGGACCATTTTGTTCAAAGCTCTCAAGAAAGAGAATTTCACTTAATGCAGGAGATTTCAAGTATCCAAAAGGGTGATGACACTCTAAGTGAGTACATCAGAAAGTTCAAAGCCCTTTGTGATGAACTCTCCACACATGGTAAGACCATTCCTGATAAAAACAAAGTTTTTTGGTTTTTGCAAGGTTTAGGACCAAGTTATGAAAATTTTGTCACAACCATGCTTAAACCACCTGTTCCATCATACAAAGAACTTATTCCTCTTGTAAAAAGTCATGATTCCCGTAACCGTCATCATAACCCTTTGCCTCTGCAAATGGCCTTCCTTACCCAAAAGACTGAACAAAGGAATTATTACAAAAAGAAAGGAAATGGCCAGAATTGGTTCAACTCTAAAGGGAAAGGTTTTATTCAAACTAGTGCTGACAACAAGCCAAGAGCTAGTTTCAAGTTGAATGCAGGGAATCTGGGAAGCATTGAGACTAAAGCTACTACCAGCAAACCTGATGTGGTTTGTCAAATCTGCAATAAACATGGACATGCTACTCTAAAGTGTTTCAATCGCTTCAACCATGCATTTCAAGCAAATGACATCCCTCAAGCCTTGGCTGCAATGACTATCAATCAAAATGATGTCGCTGAGTGGTATCCTGATACTGGAGCAGAAGCTCACATGACTAGTAACTCCGGTAAGCTTATAAATTTAAAACCTTATAAAGGTAATGATGGTGTAATGGTTGGGAATGGTGAGACATTAAATATAACACATGTTGGTGACTCTCATATAAATTTTGGTGAACATAATATTCCTCTTAAAAATGTGCTTCTAGTTCCTCATATAAAAAAGGACTTACTATTTATTAGTCAACTCACTTATGATTTACCATGCAATTTTGAGTTTGATGATGGTGGATTTGTTATTAGGGACAGATACTCAAAAAGAATAGTAGCCAAGGGCATAAGGAGAGGAGGACTATATGCACTAAGTGGTGGATATACAGCACTCTTCTCAACTCGCTTTAGGAGGACCAATAAAGAGGGGTGGCACCAACGATTGGGGCACCCTCAGTATCGCATTGTTGATTTTCTTTTTCGAAATAAATTTATTGATTTCAATTCTATTAGAGATTCAAATAAGTTATGTGACAGCTGCCAAATGGGAAAAACATGTAGACTCCCTTTTCTAAAATCAGAGGATATATATGATGAACCTTTTACAAAAATTAGCTGCGATCTTTGGGGACTAGCACCTTTCAAGTCTAGTGAAGGCTTTCGTTATTATGTTGTCTTTGTAGACAGCTATACTCGATTCTCTTGGTTTTATCCTATGAAGAAAAAATCTGACTTTTTAGAATGTTTCAATCATTTCCATAAATATATTGATTGTCAATTTGGTAAGAAAATAAAAATCCTTCAAACAGATGAAGGAGGAGAATTTTTCAGTACCAATCTTTTACAGCTCTTAGCTAATTTGGGGATTCGTCATCAATCTGCTTGTCCTAAGACACCAGAACAAAACAGCTTAGCTGAACGCAAGCATAGGAATATAACAGAATTAGGCCTAACAATGATGTTTCATGCTAAGTTGCCTACAAAATTTTGGGCTGACTCCTTTTCTACTGCTGTTTTTTTAATAAACAGGTTGCCATCCCCAAGCCTTAACATGGACTCCCCATTTTTTAAGCTATATGGACAGCATCCAGACTACTCCTCATTGCGTGTCTTAGGATGCAAATGCTTTCCATACCTTGGAGACTACCGAAGAACTAAATTTGATCCCAAATCAGTTCCTTGTGTTTTCATGGGATATAGTATCAAGCACAAAGGGTACAAGTGCCTCTCACCATCAATCGGGAGGACATATGTGTCTAGACATGTGGTTTTTTATGAAACGTGCTTTCCTTTTGCAAATCCAAATGCTTTATATGGCAAGGAATTGGTTGGAGGAGAAATTACAAATTTTAATGAATGGTTTGAAAATACTGACATCACTTCTACTTCTATCGCAGAAAATACAAATTTTATGGGAACTACAAGGTCTAGGGCCCGTATGAGTTCTACTTCACAACAAAATGCCATTACTCTTGATTTTTCTTTGACTATTGATTCGGCCGACCAATATACATTAGCACAAGTCCATGCAGCATCGTGTATTGCTGATGCTATGCACCCAGATACTAATGGACCAAGTCAAGGGAATGCTGCACCAGAACAGTGCTTAGACCCACCCTTGTCCCTAGCTCAAGATACAAGCCTAGTAGAAAACAATCATAGCACCCGCCCTCACCACATGATTACAAGGTCCCAACAAGGAATCTACAAGCCAAATCCTAAGTACATATCTCTTCATGTCGGAATTAAGGCTTCAAACATTCCTATTGAGCCAAAGTCTGTGAAATCAGCTCTGAAGCATCCTGGTTGGACGAAGGCTATGCAAGACGAGTTTACTGCATTAAAAGAAAATCATACATGGGATCTTGTACCTCGCACAGAAGACATGAATGTTATAGGGTGTAAATGGGTGTTTAAGACGAAGCTGCAAGCTGATGGGAACCTAGACAGGTTAAAAGCTCGGTTGGTCGCAAAAAGGTTTCATTAGATTGATGGTATAGACTTTTCTGAAACCTTTTCTCCAGTTGTGAAGCCTAGTAGCATCCGAACGGTACTCACCATTGCCACGGTAAAGAATTAGAGTATTTGACAACTCGATGTTAAAAATGCCTTCTTACATGGAAACCTATCCGAACGAGTCTTTATGGAACAACCACCAGGCTTTACCGATGAACAATACCCTTCACATGTCTGTTATCTTCGAAAAGCACTTTATGGCTTAAAACAAGCTCCTCGAGCTTGGTTTGACAAGTTGAGTATATTTCTCTTAGAATTGGGTTTCTCTTGTAGCACTGCAGATCCTTCCCTATTTACATACCATAATCACCAAGGTACGCTTCTTTTACTTATATATGTCGATGATATGATCCTAACTGGAAGCAATTTAACCCTTGTTGAATGGTGTATCAGTGAACTAGCAAGAGAACTTGCTATCACGGATCTTGGGCATTTACACTATTTTCTTGGAATTGAAGTACATACTAATAAATCTGGACTTTCTCTTTGTCAATCTAAATATGCTCATGAGTTGCTTCAAAAGGCTCAAATGGTAGGGTGTAAACCCATCTCTACACCTATGGCCATAAAGAGTCGTTCATCTTCCTTAGCAGTGGGTGCTCTCCAAAATCCTACCTTTTATCGAAGCATCATTGGAGGTTTACAATACCTTACTTTTACTAGACTTGATCTTTCATTTGCTGTAAATCATGTCTCACAGTTTATGCACACCCCTACTTTAGAGCATTTTCAATTAGTTAAACGCATTTTACGGTATCTTGGATGCACACTTGATTATGGGATGCATATTTCTAATCAAAGCACACTAGAATTATATGCATTTTCAGATGCCGATTGGGTTGGTTGTCCATTAACTAGATGGTCTACCACTGGCTTTTGCACCTTCTTAGGTAGCAACTGCATCTCTTGGAGTGCAAAAAAGCAGCCTATTGTAGCAAGATCAAGCACTGAAGCCGAATATCGCTCTATGGCATCTACAGCAGCTAAACTCACTTGGCTTGCCAAGCTACTTGTTGATATTGGTTTGCAACTCTCTAACCCTCCTATTCTTCATTGTGATAACTTAAGTGCGTTGTATATGACTGTTAATCCAGTTTTTCATGCTAGAACTAAACATATTGAAATTGATTATCATTTTGTTCAAGAAAAGGTTGCATTGGGAAACCTCATCACTCGTTTCGTTAAGTCTGAATTACAGCTAGCAGACCTATTTACTAAACCTTTGCCTAGAAATTGTTTTAAACAGTTATGTGTCAAACTTGGCCTTTGCTTTATACCACGGCCTAGTTTGAGGGGGAGTATTGGAGAACAAATCAAGTGCAGCAATCAAGTGAATCAAGGCTTGAAGATCAAAGAGATTCAAGGACATAAACATAAGGAGAAAATCAAGGAGAGCAGTATCAAGGAAGAAATCAATCAAGTTAGCAACGGTACAGAGAATAATAAGGCTATGAAAATAAAGGAGAATGTGGAAACTAACAGAGCAATCCAAGGGAAGAATCCAAACTGAAATACAAGGAAAGAATCCCAGAATTATTTCAATATGACCGTTGGTCACTCAATGTACTCTGCATCTTTTGCATTTAGTTGACAGCAATGATTCCCAAAATCATGCCTTAATGTAAGACGTTGTAAATAATATAAATAATGCAAATATTTCTTTCTCTCCCTCACCTCGAGAGAAACTTTTACAGATTAAAGTGTCAAAAAGCGTTTTTAGTAGGAACTTTGTGGGTTTGGGACTTCAGACCAGCTACGAGCTTCAAGATTGAACAAAGGACTTGTTGAAATAAATTAATTTGGTTTTTGAAACTTAATTAAGGATTGAGTTAACAAGTTTCCTTTTCTTTTACTGCTGCTACTTTTTATTTGTTACTTGAGAAGATTATGTTGATAAACTCTATTTTATTCCAAGTACACTTGTTTGAGGAAAAACTTTATGTCTATCTTTTATAATCTATGTGGTAATTGAGTTAATAAATTTTCTATTCCTTTATTGGGTTTTCTTTCCAATAAAACACTTAGTATCTTGATCAACTAAAGGTATTTGGTATCATTTCACTTTGAATAGATCTAATCTTTGAATAAACAAAATATTGGATACGATACAACCTTATAAAATTTTTTTTGATGGGATATTACTATCACAATGAAGAATACTACTTTGATATTAGGCAATATGCTCTTTCTTAGTTCTTACACGTGGCATGACCCACCCAATTGATCCTCATGGACTTAGGTCGTAGCTTGCACACGCAAAGGAATACCTCAAGTCTGATACAAAAAGCTCCTAGCAAGAAACCCAATCTAGCTAAATGATAGTTCTTGGGCTCTCATCTAGGAACACCCACTACTGCAAGAATGGGATTTTCGAACCGAAATATCGGTCCGGATATATAGGAAATCGGTCTGAATATATATAT